TAAATTAATCTTTTTAAAAGTTCTTGTGTTTTGGTGTAATTTTAAAAATTAAATTCTGTTAGTTATCAATGATTATCATAATTATATTTTAGATTTTTTATATTTAAAATGAGATATTTATCCAATATTTGATTATTATATCTAAAGTTAGTTAGACGAATTCAAGTATGGAGCCTTAATAAGTTATACTTATGCATAATTTACTTGTAATCTTAAATTTTAAGTAATATGCATCAATAAACAACACTTCGTGCATAAAAAATATTTTTAAGAGTTTTTGTTAAATGTTCTATAATATAATATAAATAGTATAGATTATGTATTTTTTTTTAAAATAATAATGATTTTATTTTTGAAATTTTTTTTTGAAGATATCATAAAAATTTTAAAAAAATATATATCAATGTTAATGTCAAATCAACTATTTAAAAGTTTTTATTTTTTATGTAATTTTTTTAATTTATTTTTTTATTTATAATTTAATTTAAATTTAATAATGAAATAATTTATTTTTGGTTTAATAATATAACATTTTATAAAGATAATAATTAAGTATTCTGTTAGAACTCAATGATTATCTTAATTATATTTTAAATTTTTTATATTTAAAATAAGATATTTATCTTGTATTTGATTATGTTTATCAGCAATTAGTTACACGAATTCAGATATGAAACTTTAATAAGTTGTACTTACGTACAATCTACTTGTAATCTTGAGTTTTAAGTAATATGCATTAATAAACAGTATTTTACACATAAAAAGTAGTTTTTAAGAGTTTTTGTCAAATGATTTATAATATAGTATAGATAAGAAAATATCCTTATATCACGTAAATGTTGCGTTATATTGTGTAAAGATTGTAACTTTTAAATCACTAGTTTCTTGTGAATATTACATTTATATTATGTGAATATTATAACATCCACACAGTATAACCATACATTCATAATTCTAATGACAAACCTTTAGGCAATAAAAACGCAAGAATACCTGAAGCAGACGACAATCACATGTGATATTGTATAGGTAAGACATTGTGTGCGGGCTAGGTGACCTTGGCTGCAACATGTATGTATTGTCAGTTTATCACATGTGATGATCGTCCAGGTGTTTTTACGTTTTCGTAAAAGGGTATGGTTTTTGTTTGAACCCTTCCTCGAGAAAATATTCCAACTTAGATTTTTTCATGTTCAAACACTCTCATGATACTTTAAAGAAGTTTTCGGTGGTTGTTTTTGGTATATTAAAAGAATTACAGGGTGGTAAAGTGAACATTGGCCAACCCTAGGGTCCTTATTGTAACTTGAAAGACAAGCTTGAACCATGGCTGCTGCTTTGGGCCTCAATGGTACAACTATGCATGCGCAATATGCAATTCATACCTCGTCGTAAACACGAAACCGATCTCGGACGATCAAACGTACGTACCCACGCTAACGCAAAATCACAAATCCACGACACAGTGCTTCAAAAAGAAATATTTCCATTTACAACGCGTACTAAAACGACAGTATAAAAGAAAATTATACACACTCGCAACTTAAAAAGACTAACATTAACTATGTTTTTGCATGCATTATATGAACTCGGCACGATGCCCCGCCTGCAATTTCTTTGCATTGTCACAAGAATATCGAACCAAGGTCTATGAAAATGGCAGCTTTGAGATCTTAGCGAATAATAACGCAACTTTCTTCACTCGATAAGAAAACCAATTCACACGCGAAAACATCAACTCTTGTTTTTCTGTTTTTTCGTTTCAAAAATCTAAAGCTTACGCAAACCTCTATGTGCAGCCGGGCTCGAGACGGTATGTGAACTCATGCTTGCGGTTCTTAAGAGTCTACGGAACTCGGGCAAGCTAATCCTCCCATCTTTGTCGATATCGGCCTCCTCTAGAATTGGATCGATCGAGCCTCGTAAACCCGTATGCTGCAAAAGCCAAGAATGAGGATAAGTAGCGGAAATTGGGAAGTTTGTTTGAAACGAGAGACATCGTTTGACTTTTAAGGTCAAAAAACTAATTTCAAACTCGAAACTGATATGGGTTCTAGATTTTGAGAAAAATATGAAGCTTTGAGTTAAATTTGATCAAAAATGTCATAGAACTGAAAATGTTGGTGCTAAATTTGTAGCGAAATGCGACGTATGGAAAGCCGCTTGTTTGACCTCAAAAGTCAATGGCAAGATTTCTGTAATCAGCAATCCAGACATGATTCGACTTTGCAGGTCAAAAAGCCGAACTTTTAACTCCGACCAGACACGCCGGATTCTTTAAAGTTCGACAAAGAAAACGTGAAAATTTAATCAAAGTTTATAAAATTACTACAAAAATGAAAAGATGGGATGAAATTGTAGCAAACTTCATATTGATTTGGATTTCGAAAAGAAGTTTGTTTGACCTGAAAAAAGCCAATATATTCGTTCTAATCATGATAAGATGATTGTGAGGCGCGTAGATCATCGAGAAGAAAGCGTACCATTTTGAGTTCTTCTGGAGTTATGTACCCATCTCGATCCACGTCGAATTTTTCAAAAGCAGCCTGTGACAATTGTTGCCATTTTACATTGTTATGCTCCTCCAACTGATGAACATGGAGTGTAGCTGCTACAAACTCCGTGAAATCCACGAGCCCATCCGTATTGCTGTCGATCTGTATCACAAAAACGGATAAAACCCATCAAAATTGGTAGAATTTGAGTTTTAAGTCGAGTTGATTAATGTTCAACATCATCTTGATACAAACTCATTTAATGTTCAACAGAAGTTTCATACCACTTCCACTAGACGTCTAGTTTGAACTCTAAAGGACCGTTTATTACCTGCTTACCACCTCTGACCAGGTAAGAGGCGCTTACCCGGTCAGAGATGCTGCTATTTACCAAGCCCCTTTTACCAGTTCATGAAGTTGACAGAGATGCTGACCGCGTAAGCCAAGGGAGGGACTATTACTGGGTCAGTGATTAGCGCTGACTCAGACCGCACTTACCTGGTGATAAGAGCACTTTTATGAATTCTAAGGAGGTCTTTTTTTTTTTGATTAACCTGGATATCTAACCCGCTATGCGAGCCAACTAATCCCAGGGCGACCGCCTGCTTTGCAAATAGCCCGGAGTCACCCGCATTTGAAGCTCTGTGGCCACAAGGGGATTTTTATTCCTCCTTGGATTTGAACCTGGGACCTCCTGGTACTTTTGACCTTTGGAGCCAAGCTTAAACCAATCAGGCACCACCCTTGTGGATTTGAATTCTGAGGAGGTCTTTATATTCTCAAAGATCGGATTTTACCAAACTGAGATTCCATAGGCCAAAACGATTGCTATAGGCCTTTTTTTTTATTAACCTGGATATCCAATCCGCTTTGCAGGTATCCCGGAGTCACCGCATTTGAACCTCCGTGGCCATCAGGGGATTTTTGTTCCTCCTTGGATTTGAACCCGGAGACCTCCAGGCACTTTTGACCATGGAAACAAACGCAGGTACAAGAAAACAGTATCGGTGAAAAGCTACCCATGTAGCCACGGGTAGCACACAAAAGTACCCATTATCATTGAGTGCTCAAAAAGAACTAATATAAGTTATATTTGGGTGCAGCCATGGCTACATGCTGATTTCATGGTAAAAAAGGAACAAAACAGTTTGCTCTGCACGATGACCACAAGATCGCAATGATTATGCTTGAAAACCCGAAAGTGGGAATAGGATTTAACCCATGTACTATTCGAAAAGGAAACACTTACCGCTTCTAAAATCTCCAAAACACGAGATTCTTTCATCTTCCATGGGAGGTCTTTAGCAAGGGCCTAACCAAAAAAACCGAGCTAACGTTAGATGGATGAAAAAAAAAGCATATTTTAAATGACCAAACAAAATAAAGCCAATTTACCTGTCTCATTTCCTCGAGACTAATAGCACCACTTTTATCAATATCAATTGCTTGAAATTGATCTTTGAGATCAGATAGCTCCGCCTCATCAAGAGTGCTAGCCAATGCCTGTGACAAGATCACTGGCCTTAGAAACACTTCCCTAATACGAGATTTTGTGATCGAGAATGAAAAAGAAAAACAACAAAACTATTTACCCGTAATGCAAACTGTTTTAGACGACTATATTTCACAAACTGGCGCATGTTCGATAGAACAGAAATGTCAAGAGGAATCTCGGAAGCATTTCCACCTTCTCGAACCCATGGGTGAGCTGCAGAAGTCGAACAGATTGTTAGATATTGGTTTAAAATACAACAACAAAAATCAAACTAAACCAAACCAATTAAGCCGAATATATTACACACGAAGGTGGGGTTTGAGTGTGGAATGTATGCAGATCTGTCCTCTACCCAAAGAGTAGAGCAGTCGAGACAAATTTTTTGAGAAATTGAGACAAGAAAGGAAAATACGTTAAATTATGAGCATAAAAATAGGAACAAGATACATACATAGTGCCTGAGCAGCGGTGAGTCTTGCACGGGGATCTTTAACGAGCAATTTTTTCACAAAATCTCTTGCACTTGTGCTAATATTTGGCCATGGTTTGCGCCGAAAATCAGGCTTGTTTCTTAATACCTATTAAGTCAAATTAATATTGTAAATTGTGAATACGGTTACCAAAAAGAGGTCTTTTTTCATGGACCAATGTAGGGTCTCATGTAAAATACCTCTTTGAAAATGCCATCCTCGGTTTTATCCCAAAAAGGCCGACGCCCACAGAGTAGAATGTATGTGATTACACCTATACTCCATACATCGGACTCGGGTCCTGATTTACGCTTCAGTACTTCAGGAGCGACATAATAAGCACTACCCACGATATCTGTAAACTTCTTTCCTGCATTAATCAGTAATTTACATAGATGAGACTATAGAACTAAAACAAAACAAAAAAGAGCAATGATTTCCATATATAAATATGCATCCATTCAATAGAAAACAACTTTGGAATGTCATACACCCTTCGAGTTTTGGCATATACAACTATATATATATATATATATATATATTGTATAAACGGTGTCGGTATAGCTAATAAAACAAATATGGATGAAGATAGGAACATACCCGGTCTTATGAAGTCCGACAACCCGAAATCTGTAGCCTTCAAGTGTGAATCCTCTTTCGGCGATTTGAAAAGAAAATTCTACGAAAAGAAACAAAACAAGGAGATAAGGTTAGTATCATCCTATGAACATTTTGTAATGGAAGATTAGAGTTTTTATTGTCTTTGTTATTGAATACCTCTGGTTTCATGTCACGATGTACCAAACCGTGTAAGTGGCATTGTGCTGCAACTTTAAGCATCTGCCTTACAACTATTGCAGCGTCCTTCTCTGTGTAACGACTGTCTTTCCTGGAAAAAAGATAACCAGTTCTAAATCCCGAATCATATCACTGAATCCAGGTTCATAAATGAGCATGCTTGGACTTTTGAGGTCAAACCAACTACTATTCAACTTCAAAATTTGATACGCGTGTTTAATTTTTCATGAAACATTTGGGACCGAGGTGAGGTTATACAATAAACAAACAACTACAAAATAAGAAGTTGGTGGCAAATTTGTTTCACAATCAATGTGAAATCTAAATACGAAAAGCAGTAGATTTGACATCGAAAGTCAAAATACAAAGATGAAATCCTTACTTGGACAAAATCCGGTCTAGCAACTCACCGCCCTCACATAACCTGAAAAGAGAAAGTTCACAATCAAGTTCTGGAGAAATTGGCATCCGTTATAACAAGCAAAATCGTGGAAATGGCAAACACTATCTTCGGATCAAGATCCTCTTTTGACGAGATTTATATGGAAAATGACCATTAAAGAAAACCCAAGTTGAAAGATTGAAGTAATGCAGCGGATTAATAGAACTTACTCCATAGCTATATACACATAAGAATCATCTTCAAACGCATTGTGGAATTGAACCACATTCTCGTGACCACTTAAGGCTTGTAATATTCTGACTTCTCGCTTGACATCCTCAACAGCAATTGGAAGGATCATCTGTCACATAATGGAAAGTTTGTTTGAAGATCACTAAATTCATCTTTAACTATATGAATCCATTTTTGATTGCATAACAATGCTTAACTAAAGTTAGAACTATTCCTTGATCCCACTTTTAGGTTGTTTGTTTATCTTCTAATAGTTCCATTAAGAGGCGGTCTCTGAAACTTTAAGAGGTGAATCTTGTTTGGCAAAAAAAAAGGTTTGCCTCTTAATGGTTCTAAAACCCTCTGAATGATTTTGTATCATGGGTCTCTCTTAACCATTTAGCGCCCTAATTTCATTGTAAGCAATTACCATACAATTATATTTCATTTTGCACTATATCATGAGAGCCTCTTAATCATTCTGACTACGTAATCATTCTACACCAAACCATTCAACAACTGTCAAACTGCCCCAATAATCTAACACTTCTATGTCAATTGCTGCAATTTTCATGGGAGAAACCAAGCATACAATAGATGACTAAGAACTCATGAGTATTAGAAGTATAAGAATAGCTCGATCTTGTAAATGTGGCATGATTTTGGGGGGTTAAGTTCGGTTTCAAACTTGAATACCAAAGTCATATTCTGAAAGCAATTGGCGGGGTATTCGATCTTGTAGAACTCATCAGAAAACAACCTGATCAGGCAATCTTTATAAACCTCAGAATTCTCGAAAAAGAAGAAAGAACCTACACATTAACACTGGTTTTGTTGAATCCACAAAATCATTAAAACCCCCAAGAAATTAGCCTCATGATTCTTGAATTCAATCCTAGATTTTGATGGCTTCATTGAGTCATGTATATAAGCCCAGCAGGTTGCATTTTCATTATAGATGCAATCTTGAAACACAAATCAGCTAAATTCGATGATAACGGAAATCAGCCCACATCCAAAAGGGCAAAGTCAATAAGACAATATATTAGAATTTGAATAAAAAAACCGACAAAGATTACCTTGTTTTTGTCAATTTTCTTGACAGCAACACGATCTCCATTAGCTTTATCAGTAGCAACATATGTATACCCAAATTGACCATGACCCAACAATTTCCCAATTGAATACCTCTGATCAAAATCCTTAAGGTATCCGAAATCGGTTCTTTTGCCACAAGAGATGATTCCATTCTGACGCCTGGAAGTAGCCTTGTTCTTCATTTTGTTTTTATTATTGTTCGACTGTAGTTGGGTCCTCTGTTGTTGTTGATGATGATGATTCCTGTTGCCCTCTTTGGTTTTATTGAAATTAGACCCACCCCCGTCATGCTTGTTGGCGGCTGATGCTGTTGTTCGGCGGTGGGGTTGTTGGTGTACGACGGTGGTGGTAGATGTGGTGGTGGATGTAGCGTTGCTGTTGGAACCACTGATCTTGGTGGTTGAAAAACAGCCACCCATATCTTGTATGATGAAGATGGATCAGAAAATTTGAATCTTTGACAAGGGTTTTGTAGGGATGGAAATAAAATTCATCCCATATGTATGAAATCAGGGAAACACTGGGTTGGTTGTTAAATATACATAAGTGAGAAACAGAGAAGAAATCAAGAAACTGAAATAATGGAGATGAATTAAATATGAAAAACGAAAGTTTTAAGCAGATAGGAGGAAGGAGAGGAGAAGGGGAGATGGTGGGGGGTGGTCAAAATAGCCCTTTTATTATTTTTGGTGTGTAGAATGATGTGTGTGTTTATGTGTGTGTGTGTGTGTGTGTGTGTGAGAGAGAGAGAGAGAGAGAGAGAGAGAGAGAGAGCTGAATGAGGTAGCTGTTCACAGCTTCTCCTCAGGTTTTGTTCATAAAGAGAATGCAAGATTCTTGGCTTCCCCCAACCCCCCCTCCCTCCAAAAGTAGTCTGGAAAGTAGGGTGTGGATCCACATTTCTTGCTTCTGTTTTGCTCCCTTTTTAAACTATAGATCCACATTTAGGGGCAGATCTATGTAGAGCTTAGTGGTCCATGTTATGGCTTAATTGTTTTAACTTTTAACTTAATGAAAAAGATTACGTTCATACAGATGTTACCGTTTAACGCACTAACATATTTGAACGTATTACTTAGTGGGAGCATCTTTAAGCTATCTGATGTGTTTCTAGCGAATTCCGCTGTTTTGATTTGTTGGTTTGGAGATACTCTTTTTGGTTGGTGGGGGCACAAACATGAAATTACTGGAGGGAACCATGGTAGAAGGTTAAAATTAACCTATGTAAAAGAGGGGCAATTTTTTACGGTATATAGTTTTTGGTTCTATTCTGAGTGATATTTTTTACAGTATCATTTAGTAGTTCAATCATTAATATTTTGTTTCAGCTATCTTGGTTGATGAAATGTCTTTCAGTTTTGTTTTTCTTTTTGTCAATTTGAATGTTTTCTTAGTTTTGTTAATAAATTTTGACTGGATTAAAAAAAATGTATAAATACATTGCTTAATCGACTTCTCTTTCATAATTGAGGGGGTGAAATGGAACTTTGAATATAACGACATTGGGCAATTTTATACGAAATGTTCCTTATGTGCATTGTTTCGTAAGTGAATCTGTAGAAGTAAAGCCATCGCAGATTAAAATAATGTATGCCAGAGCATTTTGTTTTCTATTATGATCAAACTCAATTTAACACAAAGGATGATAAATTTATGACAGTCACAAAAAGAAAAACAGTGGGGATTTATCATCACGTATATTTTTAGTACACAAGTTCTAGTTGTATATGTAGATTTGAAGCGGACACTGTAATATCGATAAGTCATACTGTGAATCAAACGGACATTGAATTTATTTTAGTTAGAGGACTGAATTTGTAAAATCAAATAGTTTAGGGATGTAATGATTAAAAGGTGAAATAAGAACATACATAACTTTGTACTTTTTCCATTTATGGCACCAACTTCTAGTCATGTTACATATATAGCACCCTTTTTTCCAAATATAACAACGCGTAAACAGATAGAGTTGTTTACGTGGTTGAAACCTATTTATTATAACTTAGAGGTCATAAGTTCTCGCCTGAAGTCTGAACGCCTTCATGGCTTCATCGAGACACCCATCGTCGGCCTTGTAAGTTATAACCCTAAAGCAGTGAAGCCGACAAGCACACCGTCCGCCCGTCCCCCTCGAAGAAGAGTAGAAGAAATATCCATCGAACCTTGGATGGATATTGTTGTATCACATTTTGATATATGTTGTTTATGTAAAAATATGTATGTTCATATGTATAGATGATTGATTATTAGATTGGCCTTCATGTATCTGTATCATTCTTTACTGTTTGACTATTAATACCATTCTTTACCTATTTGATGTTTCTATTGACCTCCGAGGTTGCAATATGAATGGACAATAACATACGAGTCGGGTAACGGGTCAAAGAGGTTGGATTGATTGATCAACGTTTTTAATCTAATTCTTATAATTTTAGAAGTAATTATGTACGATAACTGAATTTAAATTTTTATTTATTGAAATAAAACGATTAGAATGTTGGGTGGTACAGACTACCACCTCCACTTGAGAACAATAAGTGACGAGAAAAACACTCAGATTTTTTTTCACTTTATATCCTCGATCTCTCTTATGACCCGCTCTAAATTTTATACAACCAGTATGTGTGTGTGTATATATATATAACACAACAGATTTAAGAATTTGTTAAAAATCATATATTAGCTATCTATAAAAACAAGAGTAAACTACAATTTACGTTCCTAATCTTTACATATTGATTTTTATTTCTCGTCACAGTGAATTCCATTTTTCGTTTTGTTTTTAGTCTTTGAGACTAATTATGTTAAACTTCAACCATTAACTCAAGGGTACTTTAGTCTTTTTACTTTTTTATTTTATATATACATATATATAGGCGAAGGATCGTGTAAGAAGGGACGTTCAAGGCTTTCAACCTCCACTAGTCACCACGTTGATTTGAATCGTCAATTTGTTCTCTTTTTCTTCTCTCTCGACCACCAAACGCCTCCCCTTTTCTTCCTCCATCTCCTATGCAAATATATCTGCCACCCAGGCTATCCACCAGCCACGGCAACACGTCTTCCTCTTCTCTGCCTTTTCCAACCGTTTCTCGTAGCACCTCACATCCCCTGTTTTTTTTTCCAACAGTTTGTGCCCCTTTCACCCCAACCACCATCCTCATCCTTTTTCAATATCTGGCATTTTGCGTCCATTTTTGAGGAAGGTGGGTTTTTCATTTTCTGTTTAGTGTCTTCATTGGATAAAATGACCGAAGCCAATTAGGGGAGGGGGTGCAGAAGACGATGCACATACTTTTTATCAAGGTTGGGAGTAGTCACATAGGGTGATGTGTACTTAAACTTTTATATATAATAACCTTATTTATTAAAAATAATAATGAAAAAAGACCGAATTAGTCCTAATTAAGGAATTTTTTTCATGAGTTTTTCTCAAGGACGAAAAATGCAACAAAATAAAAACTATAACGATAACAAAAGTAAAATTTGTAAATCAGAAATGAAAATAACAATAAACAACAAACTTTAAGGACTAAAATTGTAATTTACTTTAAAAACAAATAAATACTTGTCAAACATAACAGATGAGGGAGAGTGGAATGTAGAATGTGGAATGGGAGTGAGTGTTGACTGGGTCTCTGGTCCATTGTCAAAGGTCAAGGATGACCCAACTCACTCCTACTCAATTAATCCACCTAATATTCACTTTTAACAAATATATATATATATATATGGTATATTTCTTTTACAATCTTGTGCATTTGTAAAACCCTTGCAACCTAATTAATTGAGATATTTATAGAAATGATGGGAGTTCATTTATTATGATTTGAATATTTATGGAATATGAATAGAGTTCATTAATTATGATTAATACTTWWTATTAKRAAACAATCAAAACTTCTATGAAATCACATATTCATCAAATGAAATGGACGGTTGAGATTGAGTTGTATTGGTTGCACAAATGTCAAGGGTTGTATAATAACCAACCTCTCTCTCTCTCTCTCTCTCTCTCTATATATATATATATATATATATATTATAAAATATTTGACAAAAAAATTTAAAAACAATTTTTACATGAAATATTGTTTATCGATATATATATATTACTTAAAATTCAAAACATAAGTAAATTGTACACGAGTATAACTTATTAAAGCTTTATTTTTAAATTTGTGTAACTAACTGTAGATAAACATAATATATACTATATTACAAAGCATTTGACTTAAACTCTTAAAAATCATTTTTATGCATAAGATAATGTTTATTGATGCATTTACTTAAAATGTAAGATTACAAATAGATTGTGCATAAGTACAACTTATTAAAACTCTAAGTTTGAATTTGCTTAACCATTTATAGATAAACATAATTAAATACTAGATAAATATCTCATTTTTATATAAAAAAATATAAATATAATTAGGATAAACATAAAGTTTAAACAAAATATTTAATTATTATTCTTACAAAAAAATTACATTTTTACCAAAAATAAAAAACTTCATTATTAAACTTAAATTAAATTATATCAAAATTTTGAAATGTATCTCTTGCATTATGTGAGTATCCTTCTAATATATATATATATATATATATATGTGTGTGTGTGTGTGTGTGTGTAGAGTTTGTTTCAAATACAACCTATCACATTTGTACAACCAATGCAACCCAATAAATTGAAATATTTATGGAAATGATGAGAGTTCATTTATTATGATTTAAATATTTATGGAATATGAATACAGTTCATTAATTATGATTAATACTTTATATCAGGAAATAATCAAAATTTCTTTAAATTATATATTCATCAAATTAAATGAACGGTTGAGAATTGAGATTGAGCTGTATTGATTGTACAAATATAAGAGGTTGTATAATAATCTACCCCTCTCTCTCTCTCTCTCTTTATATATGTATATATTATCAAAATAAATTATAATGTTTTTTTATATTTTTATTTTGGTTGCAAATAAAAATTAAAAGTCATATGTACACGTGGCAGAATAGATGGGTCTGATAGGTTGAGGAACCGGTCATAACAAATTTGTATCAAAACAAAAGAATTATTTAAATTTAATTAAAACAAAATGGGTTAGGTTCGGTTAACCTCTTAATATATATTATTTTTAATAACGTAAACAATTAGTTAACCAAATAATGATTTATTTATTAATAAGAAATTTTAAGAGGTGGCTAATTAGGGGTCGATTACCATACGCTTACCTAAGTAAGTATTTGTCGGTAAAATTCAACGCTATCATTTACTTACCGGTAAAATTTTAGTCCGGTAAAATTTTAGTCCACTAAAACGGTATCTTATGCAACAATTTACCTGATAAGCGCTAACCGTGGTAAAAATTATCGTACTCATTTATCGGGTAAAACTATCGGTCATTGCATTAGCTCTTACCGGGTAAGATTATTGGTTCTTGTCATACCGATAAGATAATGTGACTTGGTAAACTTTTACCAGGATAAAAGTTTGGTAAACTATTACCTGGATAAGCGTTTGGTAAACAACCTCTTAAAGATGCTAATTTTTTCTAAAATTGAATATCAAAAGTCAAAATCTCTACAAAAAATTAAATTTAATTCCAACA